TCAACTCCGCAGAGGTGTTCATCGGCTCTGCCCTTGCTGCCTGCCAAACTCCCGGCTCTGCCCTGGTCACTCACTGGAGTTGCTGTTCGGTCGGAGCCTCATTGTTCAGTCCCTCCGGTCCCGTCCTGGTGGTCCGCCTGGGTTCCTGTTTGGCCGGAGCATCGCTGGTCTGTCCCTCCTGCTCCGCCCTGGTCACTTGCTCTGCCACAGTCTCCAGGCCCTCTCCCACTCCACTGGCCTGGCCCACCATCCCTACCCCTGTTCCACCTCCACCACCACCCTCCTTGACTCTTGTTTTGTGCCTCGGACTGTGGAGCGTCTGGAATCCGCTCCTTAGAGAGGGGGTTCTGTCACAGTCTTCAGCTGGTGTGCCCAGGATGGCCACCAGAGGACACTGTGTTTGTGTAAGCACACTTGTGTTGTGTTTGTTTGGTGACATGTGCTTTCTCCTGTCGGTTGTCTGACCCCGCCCATCTTGTTACCTCATTGTTTCAGTTATTCCACCTGTGTCTCCCTCGTTACCTGCCCTACTTAGTCTCCTGTGTTTGCAGTCCTGTGCGGTTTCATTATTTGTCATATGTGGTCTAATGTGTCTGTGTGCTTCTTGTTTTAGCCTTATCTGCCTGTTCCTGTGTGGCCTTCCCTCGCCTTGCCGAGTTGTACCCTGTTCTGGCCTTCCTGCTGGTTTTTCCCCTTGGGGTAGCTTTTGTTAGTTTTGATGATTTTTATTATTAAAGATGCAGTAATCAGGCTCTTTGAGTCCTTGCCTCATCTCTCCACACGGTCCGTGACACTGTGTGCCAGTTAAATGTGATCGCCTGACATAAAACCATTCTTTGGAATGGATACTGAGAGAACTTTGAGCATGAACATTTTGAACTTTGTTCTTTCTGAGGTGTTTTCTGGTATTTCATAGATCCAGAATTAGACCGAGACCTCCCCCTCTCTTGGGAATGACAAAGTCCCAGCAGCACTTTTTAAATTGTTCTATTGTTCAATAAAGCGGTTATTTCTTTCTCTAAACTCTGAGATGACTCTCTTTCTGCTGATGACGTTAACACAAACTGCAGACAATAACCCTGAATTATCATTAAATTATCATTAACAAGTTTATTATGGATACAAACGTATCTGTAGTCTACGTTTTTGCGCTTTTGCGTAGCCACTTCCTACACAAAAGTTGGGATTTATAAAAACAAACTTGACAAGAAAATTTGTGCGCATGCACTCAAACTCTGACCCATGCGTACAAACTCCTTTTCCTGGAGTGAGAAAATTAATAAAGTAATAAAAATCAATAAAGATAAAACTCTTGTAGATTTCATCCTAAAAGTGTACGTAGGCACAAAAGCTAGATTTTGCATACGCTCAAAAGTTTTCAGATTTATAAAACCATGCGTAAGCCAGAACCTGCGCAAAAATCTTTATAAATCCCAGTCAGGGGAAGATTGTGCGTACGTGCATCTCC